GTACTACTGTTTTCCAAAATTGGATGAATAAACGCAACTCTTGCAGTCTGATTAGAGGCAAAAAAAAAAAAAAAAAAAAATATCTTGTAATATACAAATCAAATAAAAAAATAATGTTTATTTATAAAAAAAAAATTATTTACTACAATTTTAAATAATTAAGTATAAAAAAGTATTTATAATAATATAATAAATAGCTATATATGGAATATTAAAAAATACAATGAATTTATTATTTAAGATTTGAAATTTATTTATCAATTATAAAAATATAATAGTTTTTTTTTATATGATTCTAACATTCAATATATATTGTATATTAATTTTAATTCTGTTTATAAACAAATTAATTAAAATTATTATGTTAAGATAATAAGTTTTTTAATAAATTAGAATTATTTTAGAAAAAATCAATTTATAAGATATTAATATTAAAGCATAAGAAAAAAAAAACTACAAAAGCAAAAAATAATAAAAAAAGTAATTTGGTTTTATATTATTTTTTTTAATATATTTTTTTATGTCTTTGTTTTCTATTTTGATTTAATATTTATTTTTGATTTAATATTTTTTTTCAAGTTTTGATATTGTTTTTTTTAAAAATTTTGAGAGTTTTTTTCTTTAATTTTTAGATTTTTTTTTTTGTATTTCAATATATATTTTTTTGATGTTAGTTTTTTTTTTACAGTTTTGATGATTTTTTATATTTTTTTTATCATTTGGATTTATGATTATTTAATTTTTATAGATATACAGTATAATTAATTTATTTGTAATTAATATAATGGAATATATTATATTGATAGATATAAATATATTTTTATATTTATATTATCATATTATAGATTAGTATAAGTATAGATATATATGTATTTGTATTTATATTTTTATTATATATGCTACGTTTTGTTTTTTTTTCAGATATCGGGTTTTTTTAAATTGTTTTATTAGATTAATTATATTTTAAATTAATTAAATAAAATAAACAGTTAATATAAATTTATCAAAATAGAGTTGAAGCTTAAATTTAGATTTTCACTAATTTTTATTAATTTTGGGGATTTTTAATTTTTCTGGTTTGGATTTTAATGTTAAATAAAAGGTTAACTTTAAATTAATTAATTAGTTTGATTTCAATGTTAAATAAAAGTTTGATTATAAATTAATCAAATAGTTTGATTTGAATTAAATGTAAAACTTTATTAAATCAAGTTGATATTAATTTTTAATGTAAGTAGATAAAATAAAATTAGATAAAAATAAATTATCAATAATTAATACTTATAAATATTAATATCAATATAATATTTAAAATTTTTTTATTATTTGAATTTTAGTTACGTAGATTATTTAATTTATAAAATTATTATATTGTGTTAATTACAATAAGTTTGATATTGTTATTTTGATTTTAAATATATACAATCCTCTAACAGAGATCCAACTTTAAATAACAAACTCAATTCGTTTCTAACACATTACGTACTTCATACCAAGTCCATAACATCTGTTTCAACAGTAAGTCGCGGTTTTCGCAATTTTTTTATGTTTACTATCACGTGACCGCGGATTGTTAAAATTTAAGTAAATCTAATGTTAACGTGACCAAAAGCGAAAATTTGGATACCCTGAATGAAAACGAAAGAATTTCAAAGTCCTATAACTGTGATCCTAAAACTTTGCATGATATGCACATTATTAAAAATGAAATAGAAAGATCTTATCAAGATTCTTGAAAACAATACCACTCATTAATTAAGCGAAAATCATGCCGAGGATCTAAATCAGACATGAGAAGGTACTCTGTCATTACATCTGAATAGAAAAGATCTTATCAATTGGCACAATATTCAGGGAAAATTCTTCGTAGAAAATTTTCAATGTTTTTGCATGTCTATGAGCATAATTTACACAAGGCAGTCTGGAACATAATTTAATCTCAAATGGTTTGAAGAAACCAAATTTATATACTATATTTATAACAGTAAAACAAGAAAAAGATGGACCGATTGAAGAAGGTAAGTTATAGCCAAAAAAGAAAACCCCCGCGTCAATATAACAAAATAATCATCGGCTGACCTTGCATCAATTGGGGACAAAATTATTAGATAGTTTGATAAAAATGGATTGTGCAAAGTTTTGTGGAAATTTGCAATTTGGAGCAATTTTTGTGCAAGTTTAGCAATTTTGGCAATTTTGTAATTTCGCAATTTTGTGTAATTGTAAAATTCGTGCAAGTTGCATAAATATAGAATCAATTTTTAATACAATCTGTACATGCAAACCCAATTTTTAATACTGTCCACACATGTAAATCCAATTTTTAATACTGCCCGCACATGTAAACTCAATCTTAAGTGTACTGTTGTACAGACGGGTGACAGAAAATTAGGACGTCTATCAATTTTTTATAGTAAATCTGTGCTACAGTATATGAAAGCTAACATTTTTTCTAATCAATGATTTTTTATTTCGCACCAGCATTGAATTAATTACATATCTTGAAAATATATATTTTTTATTTTTAAAAAATTTTTTATAGAAGCTGTTCTAATTGAGAAAAAAAGCGAAGAATATTTTTCCCAAATATTATATATAAAAATCATAAAAAACGACAAAATTCCGTTTTAGTGACTAGGTTGATTTCTATAGAAAAAGTTTTTAGAAAGTAAAAGCCCATTTCAAGAAGTACAATTGATGCCTTACATAATCATGTAAATAAAAGATTGTTATTGTAAAAATTAGAAACTTTTATACGGCGCGAAAATTTCAATTTTTACTAATTTTCTGTCACCCGCCTGTACAAACTTTGTGTAATCACGTCATATAGTGTTATTAGTACTTCAAATCATGCCATGCATACGTGTATCCCGGATCGAATAAAAACCTTTCTAAATTTTAGCTATACAATAGTGAGATTATTTCAATGGTTTCTATACTTTCGCGCATACGTTAATATACCAAACAAAATAGAGCCGTAAGATGTTTTCAAGAAAGAACAAAGAATGTTTACAGTTCTACACTTCATCACCAATATTTGTATGCTGGTACAAAGAAACGCCTTTGTAAAAAGTATTCCCGATGAGCTTTATTTGTGTAAACGAAGAACAGGTTTATTCCCCTAAGAATATTCTCTATAAACGAATGCTATTTTAAGCATTGTTAAATTTAAGTATATAAAGAAAGGTTTTTTTTACAAGAAAAAAATTGTCGATAAACCGACAAATTCAATTCATTGCCGTTGTCATTTATCAGTTCAACATGCAGAACAGTAAAGTCCTCTTTTTCCTCGTTGCTCTAGCTTTATTGTATATTACGGCAGTAGCTGGGTATGTATTTGTTATACTTGAAAAGATCAAATTTTATTTTACTTACTAATTTTTGCAATATTAGTCATGAAGACGAGAAAGCAAAAACTGTTACAGTCGTCAAGACCGCAACCACAACGGTCCATGATCTCAAAACCACTACAGTGATCAAGCCCACGACGGTCCATGAATTGAAAACCACTACGGTGATCAAGCATGAATTGAAAACCACTACAGTGATCAAGCCCACAACGGTCCATGATCTCAAAACCACTACGGTGATCAAGCCCACAACAGTCCACGATCCTAAAACGGTAGTAGTCACAAAAACAGCTACCGCAACAGTCCATGACCATCCTAAAACGGTGGTTGTATATAAACCGACGACAGTCTTGAAAACAGCAACCACAACAGTCCACGATCCTAAAACTGTAGTAGTCACAAAAACAGCCACCACAACAGTCCATGATCATCCTAAAACGGTAGTCGTATATAAACCGACGACAACTACAGTCTTGAAAACAGCAACCATAACAAAAACAGTTACAGTAAAGCCCACTCATAAAGAACATCATGAAGAACATCATGAACATCACTAAACGGTCCATCACTACTAGATTTAGTTAAAGAAATCAGGTTTAATATCTTTATACAGCATATACAATATGCATTATTAGATACGTATTTTCAAATTAATCCATGTAATTTTAAATGTGAATTTGTCCGAAAATATTTATCCATTAATGAGTCCTGTTTTTATTATGGTTTATCTTAATACTATGCCTTTTTTTTATTTCTATTACGTACTGTATAAGAATGATGACGTTTTGCGTTTGCTCTTCATAATAAATTCGGCTTATTTAATTTAAAAATCAGAATGTGTTTTTATTTTTTTAACAAAACCCATATAAAAGGGATCATGGTAAAATGCTAAAGTAGTAAATCTAATGCTACACTGTAAGGAAACATAATTTTCACGCTGAGCCATAGATCCTTACCTACCAGCAAAATGATATCCTTTGATTACACTCAAATTTTGGTATAATACGGGTAACACTATTATTATTAAGCAGACAAGAAAATTCAAATTTTACGCCAAAACATAACAATTCTTCATATTGCACCAAATAATATTTAGAAAAACTTAATGAATAATGTTGGATTTCTTAGTATTGTAAAGAGTTCCACCTTATGTCTATGGATGTTCGTAAGACCAAAATCGTAGATTTTCTTGTCCTGAGACTCACCTTGATCTAACATTCTTTGTGACAGATGAGATAATGCTAGAGTAAGTTCGTTTTCACAATGAATAATCTTTTGCTCTCGGCTCAGAACGTACAGTTCATATAAAAAAAAATGCGGCTAACCTCTCTTCCCTCGTCTAATATACAATATTCGAAATGTTAATCAAACTACAAATATATGTTGTATATACTTAAGGATTGCGGTAATCTTGCTTTATGATCCCTATAATCATGTTATTATTATTATAATCATGTTATTATTATTATTATCGTGTTATTACAATCGTGATTTACAGTACGTGCTTTTAAGATTGGCAATTGTATCATCATTTACAAAAAAGGTAAAGCTTAATCTACTGTAATTCCTAATTAAGTAATAATATCTTTTCGGAAATTCATAAAGATTATCATGGTGTTTAAATACATTATATGGTGCGGAAAGTCTAATCGCATCAACTTTATATTATTTAGGAAATTATCCTATTTAGGTGATTTTACTAATAAAGGTAATATCTTCTATTCTATTAAGATTATAATGTCTGTCGCTAATTACAATATGATTGGCCAAACCGTTTACGTGATTGCCCTAATTACGATGCCACCTTCCTCAGATTGTGATACCACCCCTTTCACGAATAATAGCTGCTACAGAACCGATTAATATCTTTTTAAGCTAGTTTTTTCCCGCTCTCCTTTCAAAACATGTAATTAAAAAAAGAACCAATCAGAATTGACTCGATCTGCGAGTGGGCCCTTCACTTCGTTTCGGATTAATTACTTTAATTTTTAAAGATTAAAAATAGGGTTCCGATCAGTTATTATAATGAATCGATTCAAAACCAAAAGTAAAAAAAATAACAATCAGTAAAATAAATAGCTTAATATTGCATTGTTTACCAACCGCTTATTAACAAGTATCCTCCGCGGCTGACGTATCATCTTTCTTCTGCCACATCTCACTTAAAATACGTGAATCGTAAACAGAATTACAGGACGACCGAATGAGATCCTAACTTCAAATATATGGGACCGAATATATTGAATAACCTGTTAACTTTTTTACCTTATTATTTATTTATTTTCATTATCGTTTTACGAACCTTATATATTAAAAGTCCCATGAAAAAACTCCCATGATATCATTCTTGGTGCATTTTAAACCTAAATATAAAGGGCACGCGTTCTAATTTGAAATGATACGCGTTAAAATGTCATTTTAATGTAATCGAATTTCGCGTTTGCGTATCAGTTTAATTTTTTTCAATATTTACAATAATTTAATACAAGTAAAAATAATATAAAAAATATATTAGTATGGTGCGGAAAGTCTAATCGCATCAACTTTGTATTATTTAGGAAATTATCCTATTTAGGTGATTTTACTAATAAAGGTAATATCTTCTATTCTATTAAGATTATAATG